AACAACCCAGAAGACAGAAATCTTCACGTCTTTCATCAAAATGTCTCTTCTTCACTTATTCGACACTACCTGTTGCTATGGTTTGCAACTACTAGCTCATCCACGCACAACAATTTTAATATTATCCCACTGTCTGGGTCATCGAAATTTCCATCCAAGTGGTCTCTTCCCTTCAGGCTTTGCAAGAGCTTTTCATTTGTCCCATTCGCGAACGCCCCACCCACCTAATCTTTCTAGATTAAGTCTCTTAATTACTTCAAAATTATCCATTCGCAAACGACCTTCACACAAACACAAAACTTCAAAGTTCAATGCAAGTGGGTAAATGGTCAAATTGACACTGTACTTTTGCTTACGCGCCATGCTGAGAAGGTACAGTGTGCATTCCGCCTACTTCAGTGGCGTGCAGGTAGAAGGAGAGCAAACACAAACACTATTTAAACCAAAGATATTACCGACATGGGAACTGAAACGGCGAACTACAAAGAACTGCCGCAGGAAAATATACATACTTTGGACAGTAATCCCCTCTGATACCATTTCCTTTTAATTCTAACGAATCTTGAGCGCACACATTCGCCCTGGCTACAGTAAATCAAAATTGTGTTAATTTGTCTAACCTCAAAGTACTGCATACAGAATTCGTATCTTAGTTAATGTTCGTCATAGTAAATTTAAAATGCCTCCCTCCAATGGTTCATTAGTAATCATCAAACCCAAAACTAAATACAGATTTCAAGCACCAACCATGCTTTATTTTCTGTGCGCCGGGTATTGGTTGGGAAACCTGAAGGGAAGAGACAGCTGGGGAGACCTAGACGTAGATGGGAGGATAATTTCAGGCGAGATCTATGGGAGATAGGAGCTGAAGGAAACTGGATTTTGTTGGCCCAGGACAGGGTCCGGTGGAGGGCTTTGGTTAGCTCGGTGATGAACCTTCGGGTTCCGTAAGCCATCTAGTTAGTTAGTTAGTTAGTTCGTGTGGCCTCCAACAGGATAAGGCTTATACCAAATTAAAATAGATTAACCAGTTCAAAAGGAGAAAACATTCTGCTAACATAAGCCCAATTTCCTCCCTTATTAACAAATGAAAGTAGGTTAAGTATTGTGGAGATTCGTGAGATTTCAGGTTCTCACAGTGACTAGTATGAAGTGGCTGCCTTCTGAAATGCTGTGCCGTGTAGTCTGATAGTAATGTTAACTATACGGCGCAAAATCCCATTACATAGCCAGCCACCGTCTTATATGATATTTAAGAAGACCAATAACTTCGGTTGTGATTCTGCAGTATACGATGCCCAACATTCCACTGTGGGGCCGGGGGGGGGGGGGGGGGAGAGGCACTGCTTCCTAAAGATGCAAAACAGACGACTACAATGCACATCCATATCAGGCAGCTACTACACAGCGACGCAACACCTTATCTACAGCTGCAAATCGCTGTTCTTCCGAGACATCAACGCGTAGTAGTACTCTAGCAAATGATCCCGTTCACCTATGTTCACGTTTCATGAGAACTTTGCCGAAAACGCGCCCCAAATTATAAAACAACACTTTCTCAACTGCGAAGGATGCAGAAATAGCCGCGGCTTACTTAAAGGTATCCCAGCATACCGAATGGTCGGTGAAAAAACCACGTGTCTGAAAACTAGGTGCTCAGGAAGATGGTTGGACCTAGGAAGGATGAAATAAGTGGGAGATTTAAAATATTACATAACGAGGAGCTGAGTGAATTGCAGAAGTCACATAGCATACGGAAGGCAATAAAATCTTGGAGGCTCCAATGGGCAGGACATGTGGCACGCATGAGGGGGGCGAGGGGTGCATACAGAATTTTGGTGGGAAATCCTTCTGTAAACCGACCACTGGGAAGACCAAGAAGATGGGAGGGAATATCAAGATGGATTTTACGGACGTGGGCTGTGAGGATGGAAAATGGATGAAGCTGGCTCAGGATAGTGTCCGGTGGCGGGCTTTGGTGTTGTCGGTGTTGGACACGCGGGTTCTGCTACCAGAGAGTTAGTGGAAAAACCACGTAAGCTCAGTCAGAGCAGCCTTCCTTCGGACAGAGAACCCGGGATAACTAAAACAGAAATCAGGCGAGCGAACACCTGAAAAATTGGATGTAAACATATCCAATACCTGAAGTGGGCCGACAAAGAGATCGTGGCTTAACTTAAGGTATGATACTTGTCTGGAAAGGCTGGGAAAGCGTCAATCAGGATGGCCTTTCTCAGGGCTGAAATTCGAACCAGGACAATCCGAGCCCCAACTCAGCTATTAAGGTTTAGAACGCATAGGCTTCAATATCACGAATGCCACGAGCACAAGCCTGTGTACTGATAACATGTCACCAATACTTTCTACGTCCACGTTAAAGTAAATCAATTCATCGTACCAAATATATTTGGCGTGGTTGAATCGTTATTTTTCGGTTTGAGTTCGTAACAATTACAGCCGAATTCTTTTCAATAACTCAAAACCACACAAATGCTGAAGATGACATCGGAAGGTGCAGAGGTTGATCCCTCCTCACACGTTCGCACTATCATCATGTTAGCGTTGGTAATAACGTGAGATTAAAAATTATTATTCCTGGGAGATTTTCAGTGACATGGTTATGTCGAGTTTTACGAAAATCGTCAGTCATTATCAATAATACTGATGGCTGGAACTAGCGTGCGGGCGTACGTTAACAGATCTGTCCTAATAAATGATAACAAACCTTGCCTTTCCTGCTGTAAGTTTTCTAATCCATATTTATAAAAATGGTAGGGCTCCTTATATGAAGGATCAGACCACAACAAAGGCACACAGCAACACATAAAACGCAAACATTTATTTATGCACAGAGAAAAATTGCCGTGTTCGGGCAATGGGTGCCCGATCATATCCGTAAGATATCGTACATTTAGGGGCAATTCGAGTACTGAACAGTTGGCCTACCCTGACACTAGCATTCGCATTCTTCACAACATCTGAGGAATAAACGAACATGTCTGCGCAGCACAATGTTGCTATCACATTTATTCAACAGTTTATTAAACAAAGCTTTGTCAACAGATTAATTTTATTAAATAAGACTGCCAATCATTCGGTCCATTCAAAACTCCACGATGAAGCAAACTGTGGACTGCAATGTTCAGCGCTCCCACCCTCCCCAACAGCAACCGTTTTCAGAGATGACTTAAATTATCACAGATTAGTCAAGTTCCAAGAGACGAAATTCCGGTGTGTGTGTGTGTGTAGGGGAACAATGGGTGACATCCTTGCGTTTCGGTGCATTCAATGTCATGTGCCTACATTCCTCCGTCCATTCAATATCTGCTCACTCGGAAACTTCCCGACGCTGTCTCGACTTCAGGCTGGGGTTGGGCAGCATTGAATTGCGTATGCTACCATGAGTAAATACGAGGGTGGACGAATGTGAAACGAACAGCCTTGTTAAGGCACTGTCACGTCAATAACTTCAAACCAACAAATTGAATCAAATCCAATAATCGAGGTATTTTTATACGCACACATTGTTACAGAACAGGCAGAAATGGGAAATCACGCATCATTCTTAAAACATTTGACTGGGCCCTGTATCTTTTTCCAAGCACAAAACGATTTTCGATTCTTCTATTTACTGTAGAGAAACCAAACATATATGAGTCGATCTAGAGACCGAACAGATCAACATCCAAGCATGAACACAAATCGTTACAATACGCACTCACTGGTTCTGAAATAATAAATATCCCGGGATTAATTTAAACCAACAGCCTTGAAAAGTCTGGGCGAGACTATACATGCAAAATAATTCAAAAGAGAAAGGCTTGAAAAATAGATATATTAACGATACGGGATATCCTTAGTGCCAAAAGTAAGGGTTTAACTAATTATATTTCCAAATTATTTAGAATATTTATTTATACGACCAAACTGGTTTATAAATACGGCAAATGAATGTTTCTTTTTAAGTTGGCCACAATCACAAATTATTATCGTAGATGTTCGCTTTCTGGGCTGTAACGCCGTGTGGACTTCAGGCTGGAAATAGAGACATATTCCTCCTGAACATCTTCCTCGTTATGAAAACGTCCTATTATTATTCTTGTTGCAGTCCCTGACAATATGGATGCGACCAATAAAAATTCTTCACTACCATAGAGAGAATTCAGCGTCTTTAATGGTCACTGATATTCCATGAAGATTCTGAGAAAGCATCGGATTACAATTTGGGGTTCCCAATCGATTAATTCCTTGGGCAAATAAGTAATGTTATGAGCCAGTATTCTCCCTAAAACACCCCACCCGGCACAACCGTCTGAGGGAAGGGGACCAGTCTGACTCACCATCACTTCCGGTGCCCCCCCCCCCCCCCCCCGTTTTCAATGTCGCGAGTTATCTCGTCAAACAAAAGGATGGAACAAGGGCCAATGGACTCAACAGGGAGCGCACAAAAACTCGTTGCAGAATCTTTAATCTTGCACAGCACTGTACGAGATGAACGACTGTACAAAAATAAAATATAACGAATTGTTTACGACTCCAAACATGAAGAAAAAATGAACATTCTCCCCATTCCAGTTCCAGTGGGTTTGGTATAACTGGCAACACTGTACTCCAGCCAACACCCAAACCATCACAGCTGGTCCAGATGGCGACAGCTCTCAACAGCAATATTCTTACAGCGACATGACCCTCAGACCTCCAACCGAGATATTCGATATTTTCAATTTACGGCGCATAATTCTATTCGGTGATACATGTTTCAAGTTCAATGGACATTCTCAACCCCCAGTACCATTTGTCATATAATAATGCTTGGGTTCCAGAAAGTATTCGACATATACTTTCCGTAATAATAAAAACGCCGTTCAAAATTTACAGTTAAATAAATAACTCCACAACAACAGAACAAGCACTGACGAAGGCCCAATACTCCAAACAGCGCACTAAAATCACAAACTTCTCACTCGAATGTACAAAGTTTTGTAAGTACCGGTACTTACGTTTTGTAGAAGTACCCAACCGCGTTCAAAGCTCCACGTGATTATTACGAACAAGTTCCTTGACGATCAGACCTAAAGAAGAGGATGAAAATGAATGTTAGAAATTGCCACAGGCAGACGCAACAACAGTTCAACGAACAATTTTCCCTCCACGCGATCTAATGGGGACAGGAACGATATAGCACATGCTAGTCACAATTCATAACACAAATGGAAAATAATGCAATATATAAGTTTACCGAGATTATTGTGTACCTACAGACAATTCTTCTTATGAAGCAAACCAGCTCTGATTCAATATCCACGGCCCTTGATGCCCTCACACAACACTGACCGCGATCACTATGCCGACTATGCCGGTTATCAAAGACTATTTGAAATGAGTGCTGTACTGATTAATGTCCGCTCGAGCAACAGCACACTCCAGCGTTCAAATATTGTAACTAAGTAAGACAACTTCCTATTACACAGATGTCACTGCGTGCAAGTATCCATTCACCCAGGTTCCGTACTGCCATCTTTGATCAAATGTTTTACTTCAATTTCTCGCCCGTCGGTTGTTATATTCAACAATAACATGATCTCATTCTTTTAATTTTCAAGACCTAAAGAAGAAAATCTAAATAAACAACAAACTTAATTGTCATATATTTACTTAATATAATTAAACATAATCTACTAATGATCTCTCCCTTCAACATCCCTGTTTAACACCTGAAACACAGAACTGATGTTATGAGGCATGAACCATCCACCATTCCTTCCAATTGCTCCATGATCGTTGTGTGCAGTGAATATGCAGGAGGAAGCTACTTTGAATAAACAGATTGCTTATATATGAAACCATCATTGCTAAAGCTGTTAAAACAGAGTGCCTATCTGACTCAGCTTCACTTGATTATGGATTTAAAAATATGATGCAATAGTCAAGAATGAAATTAACATGACCTCGAATTCCTGTCTGTGCCACTTGTCATTAACTTATATTGATAATTTAAACCAAAATGTATCCATTATTGGAATGTAATACACCATCTGTACTACAAACAGAAGTATTTATAGCATACTACTATGCAGACATTTTATGTGAATTGACAATCACTCATCAGCTATCATTCCAGCAAAATAGTTTTTGTTGTGACCATGTTTTAAAAACTATACCTTCAAATAGCTATACTTTTAATAAATCTATCACCATACAAAACTTTAGGACCCTACAGGGGATGTTTCCATCCCTGAATTCACATAAGTCATAATGATATTACTGAAGACAGGAAATTATTAAGTACAATAATTTTGAGATCATAACTGGCACAATTTTCATAACAACTGTCATGAAAATTAATCAATACAGATCATTCTACTTAACCGGGACAAACACAGAGAATTAACAGGGTTTCTGTCCACAATCTAGTTTGATAATTTCTATGAGAAAAATTACCAGTGTCGGTAGAAGGATTACAGAACTGCCATTAGACAATGATATAATCCGTACAAGCACAAAAATGTGAAGTTTGGGAAGCACAGCAAAAACTTACAAATCTTAGGAAGCACATTAAGGAAGAATATGATCAATAAGTTGTACTATATAATATGTTATACATACAAAATTATATAACTTGGGCTGTACAAGCTATGATCCTTTCATTCACACACAACTAGTCTTAAATGTATTATTTCAAGCTCAACATAGTCTAGCTCTGTTTTAATAGTTTGTGATGTTTACATGATTCTAAAATAAGCAAGAAAAGATTAAGACCTAAGAGTTTCAGACAATGGCAGACTGAGTCTCTGTTCAACACACAGAATGTTATGGGAGTTGGGTGATGAACTGTTGTGATAATGGTGAACATAGCACCTTAATTACTCTGAGTCCGGAAGATAAAGTTAATTTACACATCTCTTCACTGCAAAAATTAAGCACTTTGATGTTGAAGTTTGAAAGTATATTAGAACCTTCCAATCATTGGTGTCATTGAAACTATTTGTATATTCAGTCTATTCACAACATGGAAAGAAAACTGAAGAGATAAGAAGTAAACTTGAGAACACAAAAATCAGGAATTACAGTTGATTTGCTTGTATGGCTACAGTGAGCCACCTTCTACATACGTCATCATATACTGATGAGTTCTGTAATAAAACTGAAATTACCCAAGTTCCTTTATTTCTGAGCAAAGAGATTTAGCATTCTTATTAGCTCTTTATTGCTCTGATGCATTATCACTAAAGTGTTATAAGCCTGAGGAAACACCATGGCCAAACAAATGTGCATTTAAATAAAAAACAGCAATCAATATTTAGAGGTGCATTATTTGCCACATTACAAATGATTAATGATACAAATAAAATTTGATGTAAACACTGTCGAATGTAAAAGGAAAAGCTAAATTAATTGTACTGACAAAATTGTAAAAAAATGTGTTCTTATTCTCACTAATAATTAATGCGATTTTATTCAGATGGCTGCCTTCTAAGTTCCTGCACTGTGTAGTCTGGTAAACGTTTACCAAGGTTTCAGAATTTTGAGAAACTAACAAATGGCTAATATTTATTTCATTCTTTTTATAATATAAACATTTACTCCTTCTAGTACTTAACACTTTCACAGTTAATTTAATTTTGACTGAATATTAACATTCATCAATAAGTCCACATGTAAACTGTTCAGGAACAAAACATTTCCACCATTGCTACAGCAGTTTGTCACCTGTATCACCAGAAGCAACACAGGTCAGACAAGGAATGATTTGTGTTAACTACCAGCAAGTTATGCAATTATTCTTATAAATTATCTAATCTGTAAGAGCTGTGTGCCAATTATGAGCATAACTACCATCCTACAGATGTCACTACATATGCACTTCCAGTTGCAGCAAGGCATCCAACCAGAAGGGTTAAAACAAAACTCTGTGACAAGAAAAGTGTATCAAAGCAACATAATACACACACTATATTTCTGTGTAGAATGTAGGTCGCTCTATGCCCATGAGCCTGAACACACTGGGCAAAAGATAGAGTGTATTGAAGCCAAGCAAAGCATATGTGATGAACTTGTAGCTCAGTTCCACTATAATCTTCTGTCGGTTCTGGATGCTGTTTTGTGATCGCTGCAGTTCTCGAGAGTTGAGACGCAATAACGCGCACACTGTTGCATATGAAGCTGACTTGCAGAGTGCACGTGTTGCAACTATGCAGCAGAATCCAATCACTGTTCTCAGAGCACTTAGGCCCAACATCTCATATGATGGCCAGATGATGGCATATGGTGGACTGTCAGGAGATTCGCTCAGCACACCCAGCTGGTAGTTTGTCCAAGCACCAATGTGAACACCAACACACACACTCACCACCATTGTTGTGTCACCACTGAAATATTACATTAGAGTCCATATAACATGTTCATTAATCAGTAAAATTTATCATTGCTTCTTATGCTTTCAGACCTATAATTGATAACTTCCTTTGTGCTTTCTCTGTTAAAAATTTGTTGACAGGAATTTTAAAAGTAGGTGTGGAAAGGTACAGATTTTCACATTTTAGAAAGATCAGTTTTACATTACATTTACTGAAGTTACGTGACAGTAAAGCTTCTTAAACTTATTAAACATTTTCATCATCACCAAATTTAATTTTACTCAATATGTATTTTGGAGCTTCTGATATGAATGAAGTGTCTAATGCACATGTGCTGCTGCTAGGTATTAAAACTACTGCAAAATGTACATACTTTAAAGGCCCAAACACCTTGTTGCTGTGCAGTGCCTCACTTAATATACTATAATTCAACAAATATAAACAAATGTTAACAGATAAGGCTAACTGGAAGGTAGAATAGCAGTGAACTTGACTAGCAGAAATTAATTTCTGAAACTAAAGATAAAAGTAAGGAATACTTTGATTAGTTTACTATCAACTGCTAAAGAAGTAAATTGTAATAGTTAATTCTCTCTTACCGAGTTGGAGTCCAACGATCGCTGCTTGGGTAGAATACCACCAGACAGATGCCAGCAGTAAGAAGAATGGCTGGAGACCAGCTACTAGTCAGGAGATAATGATCCATTGCATCAACTAATGGCACAACTGGTACCATCAGAGCCAATGCAAGCATCACACCTACCACAATATCCTAGAACAAAGAAACTAGAAGCTACAAGCCACTTCTCCTCGTAACTCACTGCCATACTAATTCTCTCTCCATAAGTGAAGTAACTTGATGACATGCAGAATCACAGGTAGCTAATGGCCTAGAGATGGAGCCAGTGTGTTTCTCAGAAATACTGGTATCTACTTAAGAGTCCTCACAGTGTCACAATCCACAAGAACAGAATCAACATGATCTGGTCGATGCCTAAAGGGTGCATTTAATTGTTGATATTCATTTTCCCTTCTTCTTCCTATGAAGTTTCCACTTTATGTGGGTCATGTGACAACTAAGCCTCTCCACCTACCTTTGTCTTCCAACAGCACCTACTCAGTTTAATTTCATGTTCTTATCTCCTTCTGTGTGACATCTTTTCTAAACCTGTTTCCATCTTGATCTCAGTCCTTCTCATGGGTGTTTCTTTGTACTTCCATATCCAAAAATCTTCTTTACAGTTCTGATTTGTTCATTTTTAAACCATGTCATGATGTGTAATTTAATTATTTGTTAATTTACCTTCTATTATATTTAAATTCTAATAATTTTGCTTCTTACTCTCTCCCTTTTGGTCTTGTTCATTACTTTAAATACTTAATACTCCACTTTTTTCTTATATGATTATTAAATGTTATCTTTTCCATACTCCCTACCTTAAAACTTATTCTAAAAACCACACACATACTTAAATTGACACTCAATCCAAAATCAGTCCACAGTGTAAGTACCATTTGAAATTTCTTCTCTAAAGCGCCTTTATTTGGTTCACTTATTATCATCACCACTATGTCATCTGCATATGTAATAACTTTTAGTAATCCATCCTAGGTTATTTACCATAAGCCAACAGACCAGACATCTACCAAGTCTTCAAGATCACAGATTCTTTGGGCTGTGTTCAAAGGGCTTAGCTAGATTATAAATTTGCTTAAATTCTTAAATGAATAACTATGCTTTCAGTTTCTGGATTACTGAATTTGTATGTACATGCTTCCTACATAAATGCTGGAAAACTGCTGCTTCTTAACCATCCAGTTTATATTATTGTTATCACTGCTTTGTATATTAAGATGATGATGAGATAAGAGGTAAATGTAGCATACATGGGGAGATGAGAAATGCTTGTTAGAAACTCTGTGCACACAGACAGGATAATATTAAAACAATCTTAAAGAAATATGGTGTCAGGGTATGGAATGAAATCAGGTTGATCAAGCGGTTTCAGCAGAGGGCTCTTGTGAACATAATAGTAACATCTTGTTTCCATAAAAGGCAGAGAGTTTCTTGATATTATCACCTTTTCAAGAAAAAATTTGCTTCATGAAATTAGTAATCACTGTATGGTATAGCTATCAATACAACAGATGGTAGAAACCATTTATTTAAATCCAATATAACAGATGTCAGAAAATAATTTTTTAAAAATTTTACCAGGACAGAATGCATCCCAAGATACAGCCGGCTGAGGCAAATGACAGAGCACCATCCAATTGCAAACAGGACTCCAAGACTCACAGAATACTGCAACAAACAAAAGCGCCAATTTAAAAAAAATATGAATCAGAAGTATAACGTGTGAACCATTTATAAGTTCAGGTACCCATGTTAGATGGGTCTCTTGTCACTACAGCATGATGTAGTCCCAGTGCACAGGTTGCAGAAGGAGGAGATAGCCTCCAGATACAGAGGATATCTGCAAATATACTGAATAAGCAGTAATGAACATTCAACAGGGGGCAGTCCTGCAGCTTGGGGGTTGGTGGAGTGCAAACAACTCCCACCATAAAACACCATAATGTTACAAAAGAAAACATACCTGAGCATATTAAAAACTTATCAAGAAGGAAATGGTAAAGTTAGTAAGTTAGTTAGTTCAGGCTCACCTGGTACCTGTTCATTGTGTACAGGATTACGGAGAGGGGTATTGAAACACCAACCATTGCATGTGTGGATGGCATTCCATACTCCAATGCCCACTTCTTCTGCAAACGGATAACAGGAGGGCAAGAGGGACGAGGCCACCGCACTACGTCTTTGATACCTTGACCTAGGACACCCAAACATAATTTCATTATTTGTCTATCACGTCTTCCATGGATGGTTCCCAGTTGATTATTTCATAGTTACTGTTGCCACTACTGCGTAAAACTACAACCAAATTCTCTTAACAATTTAAAAACAAATGTTTTGTATATTCTACACAGCAGCTTTAGTAAGTGCAGAAGTGAATTTTATAATGTGATAGATAGGCTGAAGCCTACTCCTGTTATGCATGTTGAGACATGGATGGCCACTACACTAAGTTAACAGAATTGTTCTGCTGCCATTACATTTAGTGGATATGATAGATTCCAGAGAAGAGTTTAGTGTTCAGACGATTTAAAAGGGAAATGCAGTCACTTAACACAAAAATTTTCAAACAATTGGGAAAATCATCAGTGACAAAAATGCTACAGATAATTTAGACAGTATGGTGAACAATGTCTCAGTCAAAGGTATTCCATCACTTAAGGCCTGCGGGGTCATTCAAAAGGGAAGGTGCCACTGAAAGTCTTAATCACCAGTGGCAGAGAACATCAGTTTATTCCTGGGGGTAAATATAGGCAGACTAGGTCCTTGTGCATAATGATGTCCTGATATATTAGTCACTGCATGTGCAGTAACAGCATATTTTAAAGCATGATACTATACTCATGCCCCACCATGAGACTTTCATCTCTTTCCATAGATTAAAGTACTAACAGAAGAGATGTAACTTCAAGGATACAGAAGAAATTTAACTGTCTTCAATGATTGTACTTTAGGAGTTTGTTTGGTGACTTCCATATGAGCACTGTCCAACATGTAGCAGGTTCTGAAGGATGGTACTTTTTAAGGTAACTACATTTAAGAGTTTCATGTATAGTTTTCTGGTTGCTTTTTACAACTGAGGTATCAGCTTGTTGGTAATATTTTATTCTGGAGCATTGCTGGAGGAGTGATGTTTTGTCTCAGCAAGAAGAATGTTAGGATGGTAGGAGAAGGTTGGAGGTAAGAACGGTGGAAGTGACATACCATTTACAAAACTTTTCCTTCTGCTTCAATCAAAAACACAACACAAATAATAAACACAGAAAGACAGCAAATGATATGAACTTCTCTAACAATGCTGAAATAGTAAAACATTTTAATTAGACATCTAGTACTATAATTTCTGATCAATGTTTTAAATGAGTAAACCACTGCAATTTTGGTGCCTTCAAATGATCATATGACTGGAAAGGAATTGCAGACTGCTTACAAAAGGAGTAAAACGATAGATCACAAAGTTATGTAAATTTTAATCTATTGATATGACTATAATATCCTGCCAAATTGAAACATTTCAAACATGAGTTCTCATCCTCCTATGACCTGGGGCGTCACATTATTATCTACAGGCTGTTGAGTTATGACAATTTTTAAATTTCATGGTAATATATTGAAAGAGCTGCTGAGCTGCTATCACAAGTAGGTTCACATATTACTCAATTTTACTCACAAATATTTAATTTAAACCACTAGTTCTTCATTACACAGAGTTATAATATTTGAAAGATGCTGAGAACTCTTTTTTTAAAGGAAAGCATATGCCATAAGACCATGTCTGAACTTCTTTTCAAGAAATATGTACATATTCAAGTGAAGCAGAAACAGACAGAAAACAAACAAGTAAGAAGATGACAGGAATTACCTATGTACATTATCACAGTCCATACTAAGACAACTCTTCTTCCAACGGCACCATCAATGTTCCAGAACCAGAATGGAATAAATGAAGCATAGAAAATTTCATCGCCCAGTGCGGTACCCAGGACAAACAGGTAGTACCACATCCAATTGGTGATGATGTACCCTTTGGATTCTGACTCCGAATCAGATGAGAATGCATCATCTCCTTCTGGTTCACTTGACACCCAACCATTACATTGGATTTCGTTATCGATGCACTTATTTGATTCATTACTAGAATTACGGACACTGGTTTCTACTACCAGCTTCTTTTCTGATCTTAGTTTGACACCTCCTTCAACTTCACACACCGGACTTCTAATATTTCCATTACTTAACGTTAACGAAGTACTTGAATTTAACGGACTAACTAAGTCAACACCATAATACTTTTGAACTCTCGCAACTAGATGAGGATCTTTCATATAATCTATTATTTTCAACATAATTTTGTTTTTAATAATATCACAAGTGTTTACAATTCATCAATTTAATGTAACGTGCTGATTTATTAAGAAAAGTACTTATGAAATTAAGTTACAGGAACAATTCTTAATTAGATGAAGCATGGTATGACGTATTGAATGCAATACTTCATTTACAAAAATAATCCTTCAATTGCAGAATATGAGTAATCACGGAATAATCAACGCGCGCTTTAAAAATCACATAATTACCATCGAATACTTTCCTTAGAGCAGTAAAGAACTACCCAGATTTAAATGTTTTACTTTTCGCATATATTATTCCACGAACAGAACTACTGTCCCTTCCCGAGCACATCACGAGAGTTCAGCCATCACAATTATCACAAATAATACAAACACAGATAAACATAATTGTATCGATAGATGTAATCGACCAAATTATGTTAAACAATCGATTGAAATTGATTACAGACGACTACACTATCGATATCTCTCTTGGAATTTTCATTACGTTAAATTGGTTCTTCTGTATGTTAGAAAATGGTTGGTATATTATGTGCATGTTTGCAATTGTATATACGTTTAAAAAATTATGACAATAGAAAACTGTTTAATACACACAATGAACGGACATATTGCCCTTGTGTATACATTCTATCAGGGTGGTCTTTGTTCCAGTTCGTATATTTCATGTTAGGTTAAGATTGGCTTTATTTGTTGAGGTGGGGTTAGAGTTTTTAGGTAAGGAGAGCAGTGCCTTCGTCTATAATTTCGACGTTTTCAAATTATTTTGGATTTTGTATTTTACCCAAAGAATTTAATTCATTTGCAGGGCAAGGCGAAGAAAGCAAGGAAAATAGCTCAGCAAAGATTTGTCCAAATGAAGAAAATGATAAGCCAAAGTGATCCAAGGATGTGAGTTCATTTATTTTTTGCACTCCTAAAGTTGGTCTGTGCATATGATTGATTTTAAATTAGTGGCATAGTTATGTTCTCCTCAATAAGGAAAAAAAATTAAAATCAAACTAATCTTTGTGTTGAGGTTAATGATTCCAGAAAACAGACTGATGCTACAGGAATTTAGAATCATTATATCTGATTTACTTAGCAAGTGTAAAGAATTATTAATTCACAGTTATAGCTTTGGCATATTAACTGAAGCTTTCTTCTATGGCTGCTTCTGTAACCACTTAAATTTAATTCCTAATAATACTACAAACATGATGTTTGTTCCCATAATCATACCATTAATATTTATTATATGATTCAATGCAACTTCTTCTTGTCTCAAGAAAGACATTTCAGTTGCTTTATAACACTAATTGCAGAAAGGAAGCCAAACGGGCACCTCCAAGAAAGAAGAAGCGAGAGGATCCACAGGAAGTAAAAGTTCGGGAAGTGTAAGTATACCAGGTGGCCAATATTTTGCATCAGAATGTCTTATTCCATGAAAATGTTATAGTGCATTTATTCTGTCACAGTTTATAGTGCCACAAGACATGCTTTGAATGTTATATGCCATGTGTGCTCCATTTACATACCGTCATCCAGAATTGTGAAAATCAGAATATTTGTTTTATGACCTGATAACTCTTAGATAAATGAATTCTATAGATATCAGTAACCATGTTGTGCTCATTAAAATTGCAGGAATGTATTTAAAGTTAGCTGACAAAAACAAATTATATGTTTATGCATCAAATCTTCATTCTGGATATTTTTTCAGTAATACATCATCTTGTTTGTTGTTTATGATTCACAAGAAAGATAATAAAAAATGCTTGTTTGGAGTACAGATGATGAGTTAATGTATATAGTAGCACATGCAAAAAATTTCAAGAATCTCAGTAAAAGGGAAATAACCAACTGACAGTTATCTCTGATCATAATTTTGTTTTAAACTACTTATGTGATTTCTACACATACTGTGAATGTTGACATCAATCCCCCTGAATCAGTGAAGAATAAAATATTGTTGGCAGCCATTTTGTACCACATTTGTGTTGCAGACCACAAGTCTCGTCAGCTCTCTTCTTTCAATACAATACACAGCTTGGGCCACCTTACCACATCCTTGTTGATACCAATTTTGTCAACTTTTCCATAAAGTATAAATTGGATATCATACAGAACATGATGGACTGTCTCTATGCTAAATGTAAGTAAAGTCATATTGAGTCTTTGTCTTCCACTGTTTCAAAACTCAAAAATATTGCACATAAAACATGCAGGTATGTTTATGTGCTATTAATTTTGCATGGAAATATCATAATAACCAAAATATTACTCAGATGGTGCATACTTTTTTATTACATTCTCCTCATGAGTTTGCATGGCTTTCATGTGGACATTAATGGAGGAAGTCTGCATCTAGTGGAATGTTCACACCAAATTTAATGAAAATCTAAGAGACATGTGCACACACATACAGATATGATGAACTCAAGCTTGCTATCCTATTTTGTAAAGAAAATATTTTAAAATACGCGGTAGTTACTGGAAGAAATAGGAATAATGTATGAATATACTGACATTAACAAAGTAAATGTGCCTGTATTATCTGGTAACTAACAGTTTGTTATTATCACCTTCAGGTATTCCTTACATCACTGACTGTGTGGTTGGCGAGTTGGAGAAGCTGGGACAGAAATACAGAGTGGCACTTAAGATCATCAAGGATCCCAGGTTTGAGCGAATAACATGCCTACATAAGGGAACATATGCAGATGATTGTCTTGTGCAGCGAGTTACACAGGTAAGAACAGTCTCACAACCCTGTTAACAATGTGAGCAGTGATTTATCTGATTCAAGTATAAGTGCTTGTGCAACAAGTTACATAGGTAATAGTATTTTGATCCAAATAACAGTAGTAATGCTCATTCCCAATGTAAGCAGCGTTTTATCTGATTTCAGCATAAGTGCTACATTGTAGCAACATGTGACAGAGATTTGAAACGAAGGATTCGCAAGATTCCAGGTGTACCAATTATGTACATCTCTCAGCATAGGTATGTCCCCTGCCCCCAGATATGTGTTAATTGATCAACCTTTTCTACAGATTACATTTAGATTTATGAATCAATTTAAGAACACCAAGATCACCACTAACATGAAGGCTTGTATCCTGTGAGCATATTTAGAACAATAGTGCTAAAGAAGCACAAGATTTCAGTGTGCTATATTGTAATAATACTATCATTTTAAAAATTACTCTTACTCTGGATGTCATGGTAGAAATGGCAGTGGCCATCTTGATTATTGTAATGGTGGTGGAGTAATGCGTAGTGTTCATCTTGATCACTGTGGTGTGGTGGCTGCCACCTTTGCTGTTGAGGTAACTGATGACATGATAATATTAATCTTCCCTGTGAAAAGGTTTGATCAGGTATTTTACTTGCAGGTACACAATAGAACGGATGCCAGATGCATATGGTGCCCCAAAGACATGAATTTATACCTCAATTTTGTATGAGTAAAAATAAATATAAATGAAAAATTCCTGTTTTATTTAATGTTGTTATGAAAGAACTACAGAAGCAACAAAGAATGCTATATAATTTTAGTGACATGGATTTTTCTTATGCTGAAGTAGAAATTAAAAATATTAGAAAATGTGTGTAGCAGGTTAAATAAGTTTGGTCAATCTTGTTCTGGTATGCAGCCATCTGTTAATCCTGGAAAAGACAACATACAATAAGAGATATAGTTTGTTGCTTAAAACATCATTTGGGTGAGAAATGATACTACTACAGCATACATAAACTGACATGTACAGTTCCCATTTTGTCCTGTATCACAGAATAGTAAAATAAGTCATCCGATATATTTATTTATGGTTTATTAAACAATGTCACTAGCTCAGACTAAAGTGTTGAATGATGGGTGATTAATGAATGTTCACCCTCATTTTAACATATAATGCACGATCATGAATGATCTGAGCAATATAAGATGTTGTGAATCAACTAACAATAGTAAACTGAAAATAAAGCCACAAAGAGTAAAGAACTGGAATACATTTTTGTATATTCTGTGGCTCTGCACACATTGTAGTAGTTTCCTGCAGCCATGAAACCAAGGTTGTAATTAAAATTACATATTCCCAAAGAGCAAAATGGAAGTATATGAAGTGAATATTACTTACTGGCAACCGGAATTAAACCCCGCATTTAAATTAAAGTTGCAGTAATGGTTGCTGATAACCTGAAAAGAGAGGACTGTTTTATAAAATTTCTTTGGAATTCAAAACAATACATTTCATCAGTAAGCTTGCTCAGTTGCAATGTTCTTATCATGAGGGTCTGAAGGTGTCCTAAGATTAATCATCACAGCAAGCTGAACTAAAGACTCTGGTAATGCACTTTGATGCCAGCAAATGATCCATCAAACTACCTGCTATCTTCAAGATGGAAACTACACTAAAACATCCTCCTAGCTACTAAAGTATCCTGCAGTTTCTAGTCACAGTGGAAGTACACTTATGGCAGCTGAAGAAATCTAGAATATGAAATTCTAGGACATTTATATGAACTTGCTTTAACCCATACCAAATATTTAATATGATTTGTTAGTTATGGCTATCACACGGAACAGAAAATATATTTTGAGGTCATCATCTGCTTATTTCCCCCGTTTCACAGTGATCTTATCAGAAGTTAATATTTTTGATGTCAATACACAAATCTTGCAGCCACTATGTCTGTACTGGTGATTTCATGCAAAAAAAGTAGCAAAACTAAACGTAAGCCAAAACTGTAGTAATATTTGTTGGTTTTTATTCTCTTTACATTTTCTTTTGTTGTTTATTCTTTGTGTACCCTTATTCAACCAATTCATACTTATGTTACAAGCAAGTCTCTTTTACCACCAAATGTACCTCAATGCAATAGTAAGTAAACATGATTTTTTATTTGTCACATCATAGTGGACTTCCACTTCACTATATCAAAAGCTAAAGTATAAACGGTACAAACCTTAAGCTGCTTCACTGAATGTATTTATTGAATAGCATTAACCTGAAAACAAACAATGGTGTCAGAAAATTACATTATATTTTAAACCTCTACAATTCTTAAGACAGCTTGCTCAGTAACTTTACATTCTGATCATGTCAATATCTGAAGGTGTCCTAAGATTCATCATCATAGCAAGCCAAATGCGGTATCTGCGACACTTGCTTCATTATTTGCAGTGTTTGAAGATGATCTGCTTACCCAAATATAAGACATTTCTTCCTACTCTGCTATTAAAATGTGTGCAGACACTTGGTCTGGAGCTATTTAAGAATTAAGGTATCACACCACAGACAGACAGTATTTTTCCATATATTCCATAAATTTTATACACTTTACTGAAGTCCATATTTTATGCCATGCAGCAATTTAACTCCACACAGTTCACATGCTGACAATCTATTTTGCCAAGATTAATTTTATTATCCTCTCACTTGGCCTATGTCTCCCTAGCAGCCTGTTTACTTGGTGTTTTTCAATCAGAAAATTGTAAGTATTACTTGTGTCCCCCATATGGGTTACATTCCATGTTCGAGAAGCTTTCTGTCTTGTATTATTCTCGTCTCACCTGCAACTTCATCTCTCTTGGGTCAAAACAATCTCCTAAGCACTTTGTTCCACTCTTGTCTAAAGGAGAGCCAATGCAAGTTTCAATGTCAATTAATTATGCAGTATAAAATGGGGCATATGCATATTATCTCATAGTTCAATATATAATAATGTTCTTCCATAACTTTCATTTTTGCATTTCCAATGCATGAAAATGTCTTGGATTCAAGGCTTGTCTTATATTTGGGTAAAATCATTTATATAAAGAAGCTGATGAATAGTCAAGGCACTATGCCTACAAACTAAAATAGCCATCTATCAACACTGACTCCTAAATAACTTACAATATCATCAATCTTGAGGATACTGCGAACAGTTTCAGATGCCAGGGTGATTGCGCTAGTTGAAACCAGCAAAGGTTGAACTACATTCTCTTCCAGGATATTAGTTATTGCTCCCTGAAAGAAATAACAAATTTTATTAAATGAGATGTCAGTGAATGCACAAAGTATGAAGGCTAGGACTAAAGCATTAAACTCGTAGAGTGACTAACTTGTGACTGTAACAGACAGGATGCATTCTACAATAGCTACCTCACCTTCATGTGGCACATCCCACTTTCATAAATGAGTACCTGGCACCAATCTTGGCAGTATAACACTCAAAAACGAAGATTTAAGATTCAGCAGACTGGGAGTAGCATAATCCCTGGAGAGGTGCAGGCTCCACCTCAGAATTTTTACACACAAGCAAACCCCCACCCTCAAAGCAACCTGCAACTTGCAAGTTTCATATTACTGGTGCCAAGTTGCATATTTACTATTATTATTACACTGAAATTAATATACTTTAATAAGCTTTGTTACACTTTTACTTCTTGGGCGCTTAAGATGTCACTGTACACAAAATATTTCATACATCGTAATGTCAAAGTGTGGGGCCCAGGGTGGCCATCCCAGGATGGACAGTCCTGACTGCAAGGTTGAAACTTCACAATACCACATTTGTTGATGATGAATTCATGCAACAAACAGTCACAAATGTGTTTTATACCTTTCTCACATTGATGCCAGCATTGATTTCCCCCTGGGCATGCCGGTTACGCAGTTCTGTCACAGTGGCTATTGGATTGAGTCCTGCATTCTCTGCCAGTGTAGAGGGGATCACTTCTAGGGCATTGGCAAAGGCTCTGTAAATACAGACAATACTTTAAGGTGTTAGATATACCAAAAAGAAACTGCACCAATTTTAAACACACATTACTGCCAAAGATGTAACAGATTATAATTCCTTCTCAGATAAGATAATTATTTATGTTATTTTTCCTTTATTTATTTGTACGCTTCTGAGTTCTGGTGCTGAGGTCATGTGTTTTATTAAGTTATTTTATGATGTATGAACTGCTATTATGTCTAGCAATAATAAGTTATGATAACTGTGAATGATGATGAGGCACGGAAGGGGCTTTAACAAATTGATTGTGGTATTCTGCATAGTGATATCACATAGATTTGTTGGTGGCTACCAATATTTCAGAGGAAAGTATTGCCCCCATCTTTAGGATATTTCTACACTGAAGATGAAAGTGATATATTTCTCCAATGACTATGTGGCATCACTACTCATGACGACCACAATAAACATTTTCACCGTCAGGAGAACGTAAAATCTCATATCGGCATATTATATTGATTGTACTATTCCAGGAACTAACTGAAGACATTGACAAAAATCACTCCTAAATACAAAGGAGGAACACTAACCACAACACAATGTTCAGTAAAATGGCAATCTTGAACACTAGGTTTTATCTTGTTCAGCCCTAAAATACTGTAATTAGACACAAGTGGTCTTTAAAAAGGATTAGACTTTATTCTTTAGAAAGTTATAAAATACAATGAAATGTGAGAAAGGTGGCTTTTCCTTAATAAGGAAAAAATGTGAAAGTAATATGCAGTGATTCAGGACATAAATCATATGTAACATAACTTCAAAGCAGGATGTTTAGACAAGAACACTAGAACAAAATCTGTTCAAATTAACGACACAGAAAAATGGAGAGCAATCTGTCAGCTGACCCCCCCCCCCTTCCAGTTGGAAATGCCAGTGATTTAATCACTGTCACTAACATATGATACCAAATAGGACGAACCAACCTGAAGCAGTACGCATCCACACCAGTAATGGTCTGTGCATACTGTGCAAGCTTGAGTCCCAGTTCTGTTTCTGGAGCACCACCCCCTGCAATCAATGCTCTGCAACATACAATTTTCACGTTCATTTGTAAATGGCAAAAACAGGGTCAGTATGCTTACTACACCAAGTTCAGCTGATGGCTCAGGCAGGAGCGAAAGATCACAGATACTCAGATGTGTTGTACGATGCCAGAAGGAACATCACTGCCAAAATCATACAAACCATGTGGTGTTAAGAAAAAAGAAATATTATGATAATTTAACAACTAGCGGTTTCCATGCTCGCCACTGGATCCAATGTTTGTGGGTTCAAACCCGACCGAGGTCGATGGATTTTTAAGGGCGATAAAAATCCGTAGCACAACTTCCTTCAGAGGGGAAGTAAAGCCGCTTGTCCCACGTCGTAGATTTATGGCATGTAAAAGAACCTTATGAACATGAACGAGATGTTTCGTAAGCAAAATTCAGCCGCCATTTCTTACCCATGTCTCTCCTTATTCTCTACTAAGACTGCTCTAACAGACAAAAACCAGGATTGAGTAGAAATTGTGCAGAGGCAGTCGGCTGGTCACTCACAAACGCACACTTCAAAGACTAATAAACCTCTGAAAGGAGGCGGCCAAGACCAACACTGAATTGTAGAGCCGAGAAGTAGAAGAATGACAAGCTGATGTTTATGTTAATTAGTATACTAATCACTATTCCTAGTTCTTAAATCATCCAGTATTACATTGTGAACACCATATTAACTCAGTTACCGAACTCATGGGAATTTCCTTCAATGTAATCTGATATTACTTAACGCTAATGGATATCTCAAATGCTCTCATATCATCACACAACAAAGTGCCCAGGGAGTCTCCTTACTAAACTTGATGCACTGGGTTTTAATGTATTTCAGTGGGGAGTGGGGATTATAGTTGACTCAACTGGCTATTTGCAGGAATGAACATAACACTTCATAACAAAACATACTTCACTGACACCTGTGAGAGTAGTGAAATATCATATGATGGCAGACTGCTCTAGTATACCTATATGAAAGGTTTCTACTAATTTTAAGCAACATTTTTCAATCTCCAAATTAACTCCATACTGGTGGATGGAATCAATGGTGTGCCAAATATTTCCACACTAAATCTAACCTTTGTTTAACAAGACATCGCACCACACACAGAGCATCATGCAGAGACCGCTCAGCCTCCTCCAGTACCAACTTGTTGCTGCCACGAACAAGGACAGTCACTGTGCGTCCTGGGTTCTGTATTCCTGTCACCTGGAAGTGGAGAAACCATTCACACTGTAAATTGCTTTATGAACAGTCCATGTCCCACTTTCTCAATGAGAAATCTGCATCAGATTCCTTCACACCACATCCAAAGTCTCATCATTGTAGAATATATAAAAATCTACATTTAAAATCTAAAATGTAAACTGAGTAAAAACCTGTGAAGAAATTTAACACTGATTTCAATTCAGGACGACTAGAAATGAGGGGAACCTAGCTTACACTATATATATATATATATATATGAAGTTAATTTCTGTTGTTTTGTAAGTACATTCCTGAGTGTAGATGGTGAAGTGTGGACTCAGGTGGTGATTTTTCTGATTATCTTTGAATTCCATAACAAGAAGAAATTTCTTGGCCAGCTGAATTTCTATCAACTGCTCAAGAACAATAACTTAAACAATTTCAATGTTATCTGCAACACAAGTTATGTATGATTTCAGGTTTTCATGGTGGCGAGTCTGAAGATGGCTGTCTTCTGGGTTGTTGCTCTGTGTAGTCTGGTAGAAGTTTACTGATGTTTCAGAGGGCCTTGCTGCATCCATCGCCCTGATGATGGAAGCAGCAAGGACCTCTGAAATGTTGGTAAACTTCTACCAGACTACATGGCGCAACAACCCGAAAGACAGCCATCTTCTAACACAACTTATGTTTTGTCAAATGTCAATGAATAAGCACCCCACTTTGTATGAAATTATAGATATAAGTTATGCAAATTTACAGAAATTTTAAAGTATACAAATTAAGTATAATTGTAAACAATACAGTGTCTTGAAACTTAAACACAGTGTTCTCTAATTATTTCTGCTACTGCCTTGTATTTTCGAGAATCTGATGTTCTGCAAAACAAAAATGGTGCACACTGAAGTCTTAGTTATGGTGACACACAATATTATGGTGCAGCTGTTTGTTGTTGACACCAATTCTTATTACAGCTCTCTTCTCACTTCCATCGTTCTACATTGTAACAAGGGGCATTTCACAATATGCAGTTTGATCAGCATTACCAATCTGGGAAAGAATGTAACAATGCTGCTGAAAATTTATATTATACTAATGAAAACAATACTTTCTCTTCATATGCATTAATGCCAATAGGAGACACGTTTTTCCTAATAGGTTAATTTTTTGGTACATAAACCCCATCACTCATCCCTGGTTTGCCTCAGAGCAATGGATTCATGTTCTTTTGCCAATGTTGAGCTGCCAATTTCCAGGTCCTTCTACCACCTGAATTATTTTCAGTTTTTCACTGTGAAAGTTGCTGAAAGCATGCCTTTATTGATCAGGTTTACAGCAACACATGCATAGTACTTATCAGATCAACATCCATTTGTATATTGTGGCTGTATGCAAGCATATAAAGTTCCTTTCTTCATGTCACCTCCTTTCCACCAACAAACAGAACACCACCACCAATGAAAGAACAAATAATATTTGAATAAAAACAGCATATTATACATGAGAATGTTTTATATAAAATATTGCATATATTATTATCTGCTTCTACAGCACGTTTAAAAGTATTACTTTATCCGTCAGTCATAATGATTGAGATGCCATGCATCTGAAAGCCTTGCAGATAATAACATACTTTGACAAACTTGCTGTTTCCTGTTTGCACCTCTGCCACCAGTTCAGCATTGGCGAGATGTTCCGGCAGAAAATGGTCCAAACTTGCAATGGGCCGACAACCCAAAGTCTGGTGACAAAGCCAAAAAAAGTGTATTCACTTGACTGCAGACCTCCAATTGTGGTTTCTCAGAATGCTCAATGACACAAAGAAATATTTATTCAATTATTTGGTATTATCAACCACGCATCTTGAATAACAAATGGCATTCCATCAGTCATAAACTAAGAAGCAGTCATGATCTATTTAATGTACCATCCAAACTTTTAGTGAAAAGATAGGGAAAAGCAGGGAGAACTCAGTAAAGATAGCATACACTGAAATATAAAGGAGTGCTAACCACTTCATTCCAACATTTGGTATTGTTTGAATGCACAAATGTGTAATAAAGCTACCTGTGCCAAAATGAGGATGTCTACGGGCACTGAGATTAAGTGTGATCTACAGACCTCAAATGAACATGATATCATTCTGTTTCATCCTTCAGCCACATTTACCGCCATTAAAAGAGCTCCCCCAGCTTCCAAGTAGGCTGTATTGGTCCCAGAGCCAAGCTGGGCACTGTAGTAATGAAGAAAAATCTGACAAGACTGAAACCCCACTTGTCCACCCACGGCATGTAACTTTATTGCTCATTCAATTCCCAGTTCTCCATTTTCCAGAAAAATGTAATGACAGCAATCCACTCTTTGCTGCAAGATTATGAAAGCTGTTACAGACATCAGAATGTTGTACAAGGGGCATATGCAGAACTAAATAAATTATAACAAGGGCACCAACAGATTACATATCTACACTGATGTAGTAATTAAATCAACAGGACAGAAATGGTGTACGAGTGGGAGGAAAAATTTGGGTTGAAAAGCCTTAATGCATGACTGGTAGCCCAAGAAGAATCCATTACATTTAGTTGCTGTGAAAGCTTGAGATCACACAGAACCCAACCATCTTACCTTAGTAACAAATTCTATATCTTCCCTCTCAATGTCCTTCACTACCATTACTTTGATTTTATCCAGAAAGTGAATTGCTAGGTCACTCACAGCATCTCTGCAACACAGTAACATGAAGGATGTAGGAAATCAAATACAGTATGGACACATTCAGGACAGGAAATAGAATGCTACAGGCAACATTCTACCACATACCTGAAGGAAACCATGAAAAATCAGTCAGGAGAGCCACTCTTTTGGGCTGAGCTTTGAACTTCGGACCTCCCAAACATGAAGGAGTACTAAAACTTGGCTACAACACTCAGTTGCTCTGACAGAGAAATTTGTTAACAAGGAAGAGAAAGACCAAGATGACAGTTACTGAACAGAATTCAAAGGGCAAGATTCGCTGACTACAACATGTACAATCGTTACTAACCACGGTTCATAACACTGGAAAAAGTGTGGTCACTCCTGGCTATGCATGCAAAGTAAATAAGCATAAAAACAGTGTGAATGGGGTGAGGAGCAGCAGCCCATTCCTTTCAGTTGTTTGAGGCCCAGTTTCTGTTACAACTTGGTTCAAAAGTTTCATGTATTAAAAAATTGTAACCCTCCTTTTTGTAATGAATTAAGTTGGTTTTCTTGAAGAAAAAACTTAATTCAGAGTTTTCTCTATAGAAATAGAAAATAAAAATAATTTCAGGCCATCATTCTGAAAATGTTGTCCTTCTGAATAATGCAAAATAACACCATAAGAATGGGCACACAGATGCCTTCACATAAAGGAAAGAAAAATGTTTTCCATTAACAAAAAAATTAACTAATAACAAACATAAATGTTAAACACACTTTGAAATCCATTTTGTATTACACAATGTAATAATGACAACTTAAGAAGATCTTATGACATCCCTCTAAATGTGTCACTGTTATTTATTACATATGAAACACATGATTTTAGTAATGTAAACTATTCTTGTTCATGTACATTCTTCTTATCCTTTGTGTACCTACTGGTAGTGGAGGCCCATAATTATTCCAAGCCTTGGGTATTTCCATTAGTTTAGCATTTCTTTCATTTCAATAAACACTGCATAGACCTACAGAGGAAACCAAATATACTCCAACTGCTCCTGTGGGCCCATGCATTGTGCAGCACCCACTCTATTAAATTTTATAACAGCATGATTGGCTGGATACTAGTGACAGTGCAAATAACACTAAGTCATACATACATGTTTATTCATTAATGAATAATGTTACTTTTAAAAAAAATATGTTTTTTTACTAAAGTGGCTGGGCTCCCAGTATCTGGGCCTCTACATGCCTGAGTATAGACTTCTGCACCAGCAACACATTGCAGCCAGACTTCTTGATTTGCTTCACAATGTTCAAGATGTATGTCCGCTCCTCCTTCAAAACACGGTCCATTGCTGCGTAGTCTGACACAATCACATTATGGTCCATCTAAACATTCAAACACACAAACCACTGAAGCACAGAAGACAAGCTCTTTGAATGTTTACTATGTTAAGAGAGAAACTGAGTAAAACCACAAAAATCACACTAGGCAATATCTAGGCACAGATCTGAACCCAGGGCCTCCTGGATATGAAGCAAAGTGCTACCTATTAAAAAGCAAAGTCTGGGACTACAACACAAAGTAATCACATACGGTAATAATCACACATCAAAATATCAGAAGACTGAAATGTCATAATGGTTAAGTAAGTGAAACTTACTTATGATAATACATTATTAATACAAGGGTCTTATATCATGTTTCTTCTTAATAAATCAAAAGAATCCAAAGATATGTGTAATAGTTTTATTATGCCCAGAAATAAAGTGGCATTTAAAGTGAATGAAACATACACATATTAATATACCTATATCAATTTTCATAAACAGACAACTGAACAAGATGAAATAGGTGATCTGTTGAGGCTTTAGCCTAGACAAGAGACACTGTATAAGGTGCAAACTTACATCAGTCTTGGGTGGGGATATGCAAAATTGTATGAGACCAATCTTAGCCTTCTCAACTCTCCTGGGTCCATTGACATTTGCAGATTTCTGTGTGAACACAAGCCCATCAACCAACTCTGTGTCCTCCACAGTCCCACCAAGTTTCCTGATGACTCGGATATCCTGTGAAGATTATGTGAAGTATTAACAGTTCCCCATAACATGCAAACATGTTGTGATACCTCTCAGCTCTTTAACATAATCAGAACAGGTTGCAAATTCATCAGACTAGCACAGTAAGCAACTTTATCCATAAAGCACATCTTTTTATGCATTTTGAAATAACATATCAATGAGATTGTACATTTTTACATGTTGCACAGACTATTTTCCTTTGAAGGTATCATGAGATCAATGTGCTGACTGTCATATGCAAACTTCCAGAACAAATACTAAATGCAAGATGAGGAACCAGCTGCCCACAGGCTTAATTTGACTGGAGAGGGGGGAAGGAAAAACTAAAAACGTTTACAAACAACTTAAATTAAAAATACTAACATCAACACAATGATGGAGGCAGTAAACACCTCTGAAACACCAATCAATTGTTAATTCAAACTACACACCACAACATCCCAGAAGACAGTTGTCTTCATACTTGCAGCCATGAGAATATGAAATCTAATACAGTTCTATGTTTATTACAATAATTTCACTGTCTCCTTTTTCTCTGAGGGTTTCCCATTCTATCTCCATGAACATAGACCATTTCAATTCACTTCCATCCCTCACATATACACTCCCCTCACCAACCATGTATTTGGTCACCTCCCAATTGATGTGCAATGGATCAGTTGTTCTGAACATCTATATTCTCCCATTCTTTCTATGCATCCATACCATCACATTTTACTTTCTATCCCCTGCACATTGTTGTTTCCATTCTCCTATTTCACTTTGTGCCTGATTATTCCTAGTCCCTTTCAAAATCCCTGAGCAATGAATCCTTTCCTAGAAACATAGCAGGTGATAATTTGCTACACTTATTATCACACTGTTATATCAGTTGGCAAATGCAAAACTCCACAGGAATAAACATTTTAAAATTAATATTCCAAAGATTAATCTTAACATTTTCTTGGAATCCATTAACAATGCATAACATACCTTCAAGTCCACATTTTTATCCTTTATTGGATCAATGACCTTCAGAACAGCCTCAACAGCTAATGGTGCCAGCAGACTAGACTGCTGAGAGACCACCTACAACCATTACAGAACTAGATTCAGTGCTGCATGTTATATAATATCCTACACACTGCAAGGGGCAATAGCAGAACAAAAAAGGCAGCTTCAGAGACGGAAAAGTGGCAAGTGTAAATAAATGTAGCCTTGTACCTTTAGGGAAGATCATTAACTACATGCATTTAAGGACAAAATGCTCAAGAAATACCTTCTTGAACCTAAGACAGACCAAGCTGCTAATGAATACTACATACAAAAAGCAAGTTCATGATGTGTATAGATAATCTATGTTATTAGGTTTGAAAAATGTTATGACAGAATGAACATGGAGACTGGATGAAATAAACAAGAAATGCATGAGAAATTTAACATAAATCAAGCACCCTAGTACTGTCAACAAGATAAAATCAAGGGATTTATAATGGGGTGAACATACGTGGTTTTGTTGGGGGCAACAAGAAACACAGATTTTAGGCAAGGATTTTTTTAATTCAGCCACTTGGAGGAGATGGAGAGATAATAAAATTAATCTTAGATAAGTAGGTTATGAGAATGGGAGATGGATGGAAGTGGCTCAGCACTGTGTCTAATAGTTCATTTTGGTAGGTTCTGTGAAATTAAACCTGAGTTGCATTAAGAGATAAATTATGTGGTTAGTTAACCGAGAGAGGGGGGGGGGGATGATGATGATGATGATGACCAGATAAAAGGAATATGCTTGGAGCTGGTATCTTGCGATAAATATGAGGAAAGTGCAAAGTGAAGAAATGAAAACATATGTTCATATCCATAGCTGATGATAATCATCTATACCTTGGAATTAAGAGCCGTGGAGGCACTCTTGATGAGACTCTCTTTGTCTGCCAGTTCAATGGGTTGGGACATTCCAGCAAGTATTTCCACAGCCTTTGCAGCTGCATGCTGGAATGAATCTGAGATAATAGTGGGATGGATGCCCCGATGAAGCAGTTTCTCTGCAGCTTCCAGGAGACTTCCCGCAACCACCACAACACTTGTTGTTCCATCTCCTGCCTCAATATCCTGAGCTTTTGATAGTTCAACCAACTGAAATGGTTGAGCAACAAGAAATATGAACACAGTCATAATTTGAACCAACAGACAAAGATGTTTTCACGAAGAATAACATGAACACAATCAACCACAAACATAATAACTTCCACATTTCTGTATTGTCATATAATGAACACATGTTCGCCATCAAACAGACTTAATGCTCTCTGTTGTTCCTGAATCTTATTCTTCTAATCTATGAAACATATTTAAAATATCAGATTGTAATACACATTAAAATCTTATGCCTATTAATAAGCAATCTTCTCCTTCGATTTTTAAACTTGTACATATTATTTGTCCAGCTGCCGATACTAACGTCATAAAATATTATATTTATCTCTGAAGATGTCTGAGAAACAGACAAAACGTGCATGGTTAAGCATTAAATAACATAATATCAAAAAAATATAAGTTGTACTTGATGGTGTTTGTACCGCAATGAAACCTTGCTAACAAATTCAAACCCAGGCAGCTGCAAAACACACTGAAATGCAACATAATCTGCATTCCATATGGAGCTTTATAAACATTTTCAATACTCACCTTGTAATGAATATAAAAAAGTATCATGAAACACTAATCTCTGTGTGGTCAATCACACTTTCCTAGCAGCTGTGATTCTCAGGAAGATTTTTCCCCCATCATCTCCTCCATACCAGCCTCTAATATAGCCAGCAAGAGTTCATTTCAGATCAATGGTGACAGCACACTTCACTTAGGCTGAAACCTTATTCCCTTTACCAAGACAATCACAGACCTATTGGTATCTACCACATGCTTAGTGTTTAGAGACGTTCATAATGTGTAGTGACACTAATCTACTTTAGCACATATTGTTTTACTATGTGGTAAATTTCATAAAGTCGCCCTCGGTGGACTAGTGGATAGCGTGCTTGCCACTGGACCTAAGGTTTGCGGGTTCAATCCCGGCCGAAGTCGATGAATTTTTAAGGGTAATAAAAATCCGTAGCACAACTTCCTTCGGAGAGGAAGTAAAGCCAGCGGTCCCACGTCGTAGATTTACGGCATGTAAAAGAACCTTGCAAAGCATGATACGAGATGTTTCGTAAGCAAAATTCAGCGGCCATTTCTCACCCAAGTCTCTCCTGATTAACTGCTTCACTGCTAGATGGCTCTGGCAGTCAAATCAGGAGTGAGTAGAAATTGTGCACAGTCAGTGGACTAGTCACTCACTACTCTTAAATGCATGCTTTAAAGACTATGAAACCTCCGAAAGGAGGCCATATGCTCCACTTGGGAGTTACAGGAACTTTACTAAATTTCATAAAACATGTTTCATAATACACACACACACACTTCAATACTCCTATGAGACAGAATTTTTCCTTGAAATCCTGTAGAGGTTAAATAAGGTATATTTTGCCTTCATCATTAGCTAATAACTGAAATAAAGTATTATTTAATAATAAAATTCAACAAAAACGGTTTAAAGCATCTGCCTGAGCCTTGTTTGTAAATCTGAGCACAGTCTACTATGTCCTCACAATTGTAGAAATAAAATACTTCATTAAAGCCCTCAATGCTGGCATGTCTCTCTCAAACTACCTAGCTCTTAACCTCTGCAAGTTGGAGCCATATTAACTGAGCTTTTCTTGCTCAAAATCATTTAATTACTGTACCCACATACATTATCAGGCTCTTCCTGAATCATCCCATCCCATACTCGTACAACTACATTTCATGTCTGAGGTGTGAACATCCCATAATAAATGCTGTATTACACCCCACACTGTATCACTTGTTAAAATTCTAACAGATGGAACCTCAGGACAGCCCAAAAACCAACAAGCACAAAACTGTATTTTTGTTCACCATTTTTGCTGCTGGATGTGTGACACTGATCTGTTTTAGAATTGTTGCTCCATCATTAGTGATTGTTACTTCTCCATTTCCAGCCTGAATCTGTGAAGCACAAAAACAAGTTCTAAAAGAAAGTTGTTGTTCTTGGGTTTAACATCTCAACTTCCATATAAAAAACTGTACCATATTCAACTTACCATCTTATCCATTCCCCGAGGTCCTAAGCTGGTGCGGATAGCATCTGCTACTGCTGTAAATCAATACAAATATCAATGAAGTAATTGGACAGTTCTACATCATGAAGTTATTTGCTTCAGTACAGCATGGCATTAGACAGCACATGCAACAGTAAGTTCTGTAATAGATGACGAAAGTGAATGCAACATTACAAATGGATGCTTCTGTTCCCACATATGCACAATGCATGAAGACTGGAGAAGGAACAAGAAAGGATAAAATTCTATGAAATGGACACTGATGAATTGAGAGAATCAAACTATGACCTTAGACATGCTGTGACGAACTTGGTGGTGCATGTAAGTCATCATAAAATCAAGAGAACTATGTCAAACAAAGAGCTTAGACGTAACAAAATAAACTGCCTCTGTATATTTCTGATAGAATGTGTGGAATACAGCATACTGTGACTAGTCTGGCCAAGGTTCAGTATTGGCTGGCTGGTTCCCTTTTCTCAAACCAATCGCATGCTTACTTATCACCCTGATTGAGACATCAACAGCCACTGAAACACTGGTAAAATTCTACCAGACTACACTACAACCCATAAGGCAGCCATCTTTATACAAACTGCTATGAGAACCTGAAATCCTACTTGGATGAAAACTTCTGTGCTGAACCCATGAGCATTAATGAACAGCAACATGCTGGTGCATACCTACCCCAGGTATAAATGGTTGCAACCACTTGGCTTTTACATGTAATCGCTGTATCAAATATCGGCTGGCAACCCGAATTGTACCTTACGAGAAGGTTGGATTTTGGAAAATTTTAATATTGTGCATACACATCCCCTATGCCAAAATAACCAAACAGAATATCTTTATGACACATAACAAGGTATACAAATCATTAGTAACCTGGACTCTACCCTACCTTTCGCTGCATTGATGTTACTGCTGCGAATTTCCGCTGGTTTACGTTTGTCTTTGTAAGCACCAGTCTGTACTTTACGGCTATCCACCAATCCAGATTGTAACGCCATCTCAAATCAAATACTGCCCTTATTAGTATGAGTATTAAAAACCGTTCTCTAACAAAAGTAATTTATCACTCACACCATGCGTATCACAGAACTTCTGACGCTAAAAGATTTAGACCTCAAGGCCGACAGCCACAGATTACAAGCGTTGACAAAACGTATACTGCAAGGTTTTCTGTGGTCAAGTTATTTGTCGGTGCGGCTTAACGCTCAGATTGTTCTGTCGTCTTATTCTCGGTGAAGACTGAAAATGTCAGTTCCGTTGTCATCTGTGAAACACGGAAAACCGAGACTACTCATAAACCACGAATCTGGACGGTTATAAGTAAGAAAATACATGCACAATAATTAGCATTTGAGGTTGGGGTGATACCTACAAGGCCTATCCCATCTGTGTACGAAATATGTTGGTGATACGTGGGTCAGAATAGAAGAGAATTTAATTACTTTCCACAGACTCTTCAAAGGAAATATCACGTGTCAAAACCTAGAAGATCATAAACAAAAAGTGTTAAAGTGCCGTTGGCAGTTCTGTACATATTATATATCTCATAGCAACTGTGTAATGTGGGCGTACTGTTAAAACCACATTGTAATGTGGAATATGTTATGTTTTTTTAAAGTTATAGATTTCCTATGCAGGTGTGAATATACGTGTTAAAATGGCAGGCACAGGTTCCGAAGAAAATACCGTAGGACGTAACAAAGTGGTTGATAATGCATGGTCTTTGAAAATTCCTGAATTTCGTCCGGATGATAATCCACACAGACTTTTAGAAGAAAGTTCATTTGCGACGCTGTTTCCAAAATACAGGGAGCACTATTTGAGGGAATGTTGGCCTTTAGTTCAGTCATCTCTAGAAGAACATGGCATAAAGGCAGACCTGGATGTTGTGGAAGGCAGCATGACTGTGAGAACAACTCGTCGCACGTGGGATCCGTACATTATTGTAAAGGCAAGAGACATGATAAAGCTTTTGTCAAGGAGTGTACCATATGAACAAGCAATTCGCGTACTTCAGGATGAAGTGGGATCAGACATAATAAAAATTGGGTCTTTAGTACGAAACAGGGAAAAGTTTGTGAAGAGAAGGCAGAGACTAATTGGACCCAGCGGTTGCACTCTTAAGTCCATTGAATTGTTGACCGATTGTTATGTCCTCGTCCAGGGTCAAACCGTGGCAGCCCTAGGCCCTTACAAAGGTCTTCAACAGGTACGGCGTATTGTTGAGGATACAATGCACAACATTCACCCAATCTACAATATCAAAGCCTTAATGATCAAGCGTGAACTGGCAAAAGATACCAAATTAAAGAATGAAAATTGGGAACGATTTCTTCCCAAGTTTAATAGCAAGAATCTTAGTAAACGGAAACAACCGAAGAAGAAGAAAATTAAGAAAGAGTACACACCATTTCCTCCCCCTCAGCCAGAGAGCAAAGTGGACAAGCAGTTGGCTAGTGGAGAATACTTTTTGAAGGAAGACCAGAGACAGGCTCGTAGGCGCAGAATGAAGGATGAAAAACATGCAGCAGCAGCCAAACTGCGAGAAGAGAAACGAAACAAACCATTCATACCACCTGAGGAACCCCAGTTCAAGTCCTCAGCAGTGAGCCAGAGCTCTGATATTGATGTAATAGCACTGAAGAAGAAAATAAAAAATGCCCAAAAGAAGAAGGTGTCACCATAATCATAGTATCTTGTCTTTGTAAATGCACAGATGTTAATATTATTTTATTTAGTAAAGTGTACCATGTTCATCCTTGTTTCGCAGATTTCCAATTTTTCTTTTAAATAAAACAACCTTTATTTTTGTGCATTGTGTTCCCTTCTCAAATGCTGTAAACATACCCCTCCAAACAATCAAAACATTGTAATATTCATACAGTGCAGAACTGGTAGTGTCATTGGTTTATAGAGTTTTTTTTTTGAATTTTTACTTTAATTTCTTTTGATTGTACCAAACATTTGATTATTTATTGAAATTTCTTTCTGTGTTCATTTAAATAAATATGAGATGTTAGCAGTTAAACTGCCAACTCATTCTTTGAATTCAGATTATGTAACTGTTTTTGGATATTTTACATTGGTCCCAATGGATGGATGCCATTATTCTACATTTGGAAACAACTTTAGATTACTGTAACAAGTGTATTTTTTAAGTTACTCCAAAAAGCAGTGCAATGGCCAGCAACTTAACTATGGCATATTACCTGTTACTAACTTATGTTAGGTATTGTTTTAGTGATATAACATTTTGTCAGTCCTATCTTCCACTGCAATAAGTGACTTTCTGCGGTTTCTTCGTGCTCTCCCAAATATTCACTGTCCTTCTGACACATCATGCTCATACCACAGAATGGTGCCCAATAGCTTGCATGATAAACATTCTCAAGGAAACAGCACCACAATTGACTGACTGTTGGATGTCATTGTATCCTAAAGTTCAGCCTGCTGTAAACTGCCTGTCATCTGTCAACATGCAAACAGAAAACCACTTCACACTCTTCTTGACATGAAATCACTATTTGCTAATGCTAACAATACAAGGATATGTTGTATATATAACAGTATATGAAGTGTGCTGTTTGTGTGTTGATAGGCCAATAGTTTAATAACTGCTACAGGATACTTGCTTACAAGTTGTCTACTGTAGGAAATTATCAAAATCATGTTCCTGTACACAGTTTTCATTGTATCCTGAACTGCAGAATATTAAGATATATGTTACCTCTTATTGGGACTGCCTGTAAGTAATGTTTATGCTGAAAGGATGGCTTCAGGAAAGGGTGTACAGTGGAAGCAAGTGAACAAAACAATGCTTTTTCATAAAATGTTATAATTGAAACTGAGTTTTATGTGGTAATGTACAAATTTGTTGCTTACATGTAGTTTCCTTGCTAATGCTTCATCACATATAATACAAGTACTTGTATGTTGGAAGAACAACTTGTTTCACACTAGAATGTCAACTGGTAACATAAAAATGTAGAGACCATACACTAGAATGTCTCATGTTAGTCCAGTGAACTGTCCTTTAGCAACCTTTTAAGCCATGTGGCAACACTAAACAGTAATAATATTAGACACCATCATCCAATCAGACTATGAATATCTACATGACAGAATTAAGCCTGGTATGATAATGGTTAAGGATCACACAAGGAGGAAAATAGAGCTCCATATATTATAAACTTTGGCACAAGATGAGGTTGGTCAGCCTCCCCCTCACAGGATATTTAAACAAAATAATGCAAGTGATGTATGTGTTGCCTCCTTTTTTTATATGAAACACACTAACATTATGAAATAAATGGGTTAGTCAGTGGAGCACAAATTTTGATGTTACAATTGTATTAGACTCACAGACTTGGGACATGTGACAATGAAGTGGGTTTATGAAAACTGCAACTTGTTTAGTCTGCTTTTGACATGACAATGATGTTTGGCAGCTCCTTTCTGGACCGTAAAACATAAATATGACTCGTATGACTTTAAGTTTTTATTACACACTCAGAAATGACAATAAAATCAATGATTAAGATCAAACTTTTGAACACGAGTAATATAATCCCCAATGGTTTGAAGCCTTATGTTCATCTGTAGGTTATGATGTGCCATGCCCGAGGCAGTGAATTGCTGGCTTCTCACTGCAGAGGCCTGTTTGCTTGCAGGGCAGTCCATGTGGGATTAGTCATGGACAAGTAGCACTGGGACATGTTTCTCTCCAAGTTCTTCAGTTTTCTCAGGTCAGTATCATTTCACATTGCTCCACAGAGACATAGTCCTATTGCATCATTAAAAATCTAGACCCCTTCTGCTGGTCATTAAATGATAGCAAAGTCTGCCTCATAGGTGTCATCACCTCAGAAATGGAGTCTTTACCATTGCTAAGGTAAGCAGAGGGAACAGATTTTTACTGATTAAGCCTTTGTTCATATGGAAATACTGAAGTGAAGCAGTTTCTCTATACACAGTCTTTAAATACAAAACTATGCAATTTCCTTGTAACTGTCAAGATCCTGAAACTGGTCATTCTTCAGAATGCTTCCTAATAAAGGATGTGGATAAATCAGGAAGGGCAGGTACCCTACCATGTGAAGCAAAAAGGATGGCTTACGACAGGCCTGTGCAGTTTAATATGTTTAGAAACAATGCTTTTGATATATGAGATGCACTGAATGTAGCAAATATTAGAATTTATAATTTAGTTCCGAGGGAATCAACATTCTGACAATTTAAAAACGTTTAAGGGACTTCTTAAATTTCTCACAGTGGTGCAGATATCGATATTATGTGGACTATATAAGAACTGAAGTCCTCACAGTGTTACCACCCACAAGACTGACATTGCATCATATTCTAGTCATGTTCTTGTAGTTTTAATCTTACATGAGATTTCTGACTTGAATGGATGAACAGGGCTCTTTTCCTAACAGGAGCATTTGAGGTTTTCTTTTCAGAGCCGTACTGGAGGATCAACCGATCTAGTGGATACCATGGACTTTTTCCCAGAGTGTGAGGCTAACTATTCACCTCCATTTGGTTGTAATGTTTAGAATGCATGGAGCTCTATCATGTCCTTATGCTCCTTTTCTGGTGCACGGGCATAAGGACAATTTTAAATCTAAATGTTTACAGTTATATTACATCAACAGTCAACTTAAACTCCACAATACTACAGCCTTTACTCCTGGTTTGTGACACTATACAGATCAGAAGTATACGACTCAATTGTGAAATAAAGAGATAAATTTAAAGAATGTTGAAGTCATATTTTTATTGTGTGGTCCTGCAGCTTCTCTGAACACCATCAATCTGTAATACAGACAAAAGAGTATCTAAGATTTGAGGTTTTCATGGCAGTGAAAACATGGACTGTGTTCTTCTGAGTTGTGATGTCATAGAGTTTATCATCATTATTTTGAAGGGACATGCTGCTTCACCTTTCAGGGTAGAAGTGTTCTTCTTAAACACACAACCACCCACAAGACTACACAGCAACACAACTCAGAAGACCACATTCCATAGCTTATCTGCAATAATCAGTCTTGCAGGCACTGGATAACAGTTCCACTTCCTTATATTATTGAAACAGAAGCCGTCAGTTCTGCTTTTATACTTGAACACTTTTTTTCTGCCAAATATTAGTTGAACTTTGCCATCCATAACTAAATCTATGACAAACCTAAAGCATATTTGTAGCACATAGTTTGAGTATATATGATGGCTATTTAAATTAATAAAAGTTTTTTTCTTTATTTATTTCAAAAATGTATGTTCTTGTACAGAGTATGTGCTGTTCATTAATAAATTATGATATTTAGTGATCTGCCTCTATTATCTTTAAAGAGAAGCAATTTTAACCTCATTCCAGGAAGTAAATG